TCCGGAAATACTAGTCAGAAGGTATACTTATTATATATCGTTGGAAAGAGGAGAATTGTAGAAAAAACAATATCTAATATAGAAAGTTGTAGAAGGCAATGAAGAGTGGTGAAAAAAAACTTAAATAATAACATGTTTTTAGAAAAATTAAATGAAATGATCATACTAAAAGTTTGAAAAAGTATTTAAAACCCTCGGATTCCAGGCAATGACACTGTTTAAGATACTACTTCATTGTTCTTGTGTGAAAGAAGAAGTGAAATATAAAAATATTTCATGGATACTATTATAATCTTAAATATATTTACTGTAGTTTAATAACTCTGGATTTGACATTATATTTAAATCATTAGTTAAATCTATAGTCGATTTATTCCGAAAAATCATTATGTAACCTTTTAAAAAATTAAATTAGTGAATAATTTGAAAAATTTTCCCTTTGCGATATTCCAACAGAATCCAGTTACAATCTCTGTGACAACTTTTGACCTGTATATGACAGACAATGCAAATCTCTCTATTCCGTTTTAGTAAACTTTGCAATGGAAAATAACAGTTTAATAACTAATAGTTCTACAATCCATCATCAACAGTTTAATAACTAATAGTCCTACAATCCATCATTAACAGTTTAATAACTAATAGTCCTACAATCCATCATCAACGGATCGTATAATCCATATTGACGAATCGTACCATCCATAATCAACCGGCGATATAATAAATAGGAATTTTGTTATTTTAATAGTATTTATGATTTGTTAGCTACAATCTATTAGCTTTAGCTCAGTTAAAAATGCAATTCGAAAATTTAATAATAGCCCAACATGGCCAGAAAATAATTTCTATTCAAAGTTGTGTGTTGCTCTCACCAGATTTTTATTTCTTAGTAAGTAACCTTCTTTCTTATATTAACAAGCTATTATTTATGTTAATGAAGCATATTTCTTCATATTTTTTATTCCATCCTATTTTTCACCACATAACTACCTCTTCTTTTTTACTAATTTAGCAAGCTCGGTCGAATCATAGCTTGGTTTCGACAAAGGGGTTTTATTCTGGGAACTCTTTCATCGCACTGCATTGACCAAAGCTGACCAATGGAAGCGAAGGTATTGGATCTTCCGTCCCGCTAGTCTTCCTGCTAGTGGTGACGAAGGCTGAACTTTAAAATAAAGTTGTGACGTATACTTTATCATGTAATATAATACGTCACATTATTACTCAATAACGCTGATATTAAATGATCTTTCGTACTTAACTTTTTGTAGTCGACATAATAAAATTATGGTTTTATTGTAATATTTTTATATGGAAAATTTATTTATTTTTTCTAGTAGTTAATAGTTACCATTGACGCTCATTTATTAGATAATGAATAAATATAAAATAAAATCATTCAGAAAATAAAATATTAGAAACTTTAAATTTGAGTTGCGATATATATCTATATAAATTGTCGGTTTATTGCCAAAAGTCACTAAGTATATTTTTAATGAAACCTAACTTTAAAGTCCATTTTTGTTAATTTCGACCTTATTTATTGATACATAACGGATTAAATAAATCAAAATGACACAAAACCTTTTCTGTTACTAATGTAGTTTCACTAATTCGCTAATTATGTTTAAATATTCTAGTGAAATGTTTTCCGATAAACCACCGATAGTATCATTTTCACGCATTGTTTTAATTTACAATGCAATTCTGCGAAACCCATATGCCCTTCTATTGAAATATGAAAGTTTGAATGAGAAACGATTACGGCGGTCAAAATGAATTGGCCGCATTATGAAGCCTTTAACTACTCACGAGTTGCTTATATTTCACAAATGGATATTTTACCCTTTGAGCTACTCATGAGAAATTACGGTTTTAAAGATCAAGGAAAAGATAAAATCATAAGAGGTTTTCAAGTTCTCTTGAGATCTTGAAAGTTTTTCATTTGAAAAGAGAAAAGCCGAAGAAAGTAAAAGGAGAAAAAGAAAGGAGATGATTGCGTTTTAAGAAGAAATTGTGAGCTTAAGATCCTTCAGAAAGAGTAGTAAAACCGGGAAAGCTATTCAAGAGGGGTAAACAAAAATTGGATGCCCTGTGTGAGCAATACTCTAGTTGAAATATTTCTTCTCCCAATCCTAGAGGAATATATGTTATTCCCCAGGGCTAAAATTGTGAAGAATAATTTCTCGTGTTGGTTAAATAAAATACGTATCAGAAAGGCTATTATAAAAAAACATACACGGCGTCTGAATTACTTTTTACGACTTACATTGAATTACGTGACACATAAGTGTCCAAGATTTTGATCCATGAAAAAGTACTATTGATTATATCCTTACTTATTTAAGATGTTTCACATATTTCAATTTTAGAAATTTATACTTATAATGCGAGAACCAACGTTCAACAACGTAAAAAGTTTGAAAAAATATTGGAGAAATGGGAAAAATATCCATTTTATGGGAGGAATGCTGATGATATTGCTTAGGCTAAAACATTGGCATCAAATGAATTTTAAAAAACTTATTTTTAGTTTTTTTATAAATTAATATAACCTACATTTAATTTATCCACCATTAATACCATCCCTATATGTTGATCGATGATCTGTTTGTTCCAATGAAATATTCCTCTAATGTTGATTAAAAAAGCTTTCAAAAATGGATTAAGCACAGGAACATAGCGCTAATGTTAGTACAAAAGATCTTATGTTAAAATTGAGGGTTTTTTACCGAAGAGTATCATAAAAACCGATTATTTATGTATGATTGATTAGTATAATTTGATATTTTATTCCACTCTCCTATTTATTAGACTACTTAAAGGAGTGCAATCCTATAGTGCAAAGAGAATAAACATGTAAAATTGTTACATACGACCTTTTGCACTACGATACTCAGACCTTATAATTTATAACTTATAATTTGTGATGTCTGCATCAACTGCAAGGTCTCACATGGTTGAAAACCTGAAAGAGACAGAAAATGACCTGAATGTGAAATCCACATAAATATGTCAGTAAATTAATTGACGAAGGAGAGCCATAGGATTCTGTTTTCCTTCATATCTGGACTGAAATATAAAAATACAGTATTGTTGAACAAAATATTGTTATATGATTTGAATTTTTCTTTAATTTCTTTATTATTAGATAATTCTGTAATATTACTGAAAAAAATGTTGCTTTCATACCTTCATATAAAAGAGCTTATAGATTATTTCGACATTTCGAACAGCCATCTTTTTGACCAGAGTGTTCTATTGATAAGTCGATAGTTGACGAGATATGACTCTCTCCCACCCCTCTCCCAGACACTTCCATTTGGATAATGGATGAGCTCCAGCTGTGGATTGCTTTGCAGGTGGAGTGGGCTTTTTGTCTGCAATGTGCATTAGCAACAATGCAGCAACGGCATCTGCTTGCTGCTCATTGTCATAAGATGAGTGATTTCAGTTAGGTATTTGTACTCATGCCTAAATCCGTAGTTGGTGCCGAAAAACCCCAACGGTAGCTAATGATATTTCAAAAATGAAATGTGTTAAAAAAAAAAGAAAGTTAAATAGATACAACGTACTCGTTTTGGAGTTTCCGTTATTAAACGAGAGTCAATAATTGCATTTAAATTCTGCCAAAAGTTTTCCTAATCGCTAAAATGTTTTGAGTCCTAAATAAATTTTTTTCACTATTTGTGTCATGAGTTTTTTCTTCTTCATTATTATATCCCATGTAATTCATTATATCATTTTCACTTACTGTATTTTATAAATAATTACAGCAATATCACCTTCACTGAAGGTAACAAAACATTATTTAATGGAATTCGTGTTATTTTGTAAGCATTCAAAGATGATTAGAAATTTTTGGTATTCTAATGAAATATTTCAATTAGTTGAATTGATATAACCATTCTACTATTATACTGAATTCATGATTTATCAGCCCAAATTAACTCCCTTAGTTAATATTCGCACGCAATTGGTAATCCTAATAAAATGGAGTTGATAGAATATGATTCTCGTAAAGTAACATGTTGATTTTTTCAATTTTTTGACATAATCAAAATAATATTTATTTTAAACTAAATAAAATATGGTATTTAAAATTAAAATACCATAAAAATAAAATATAAAATTTAAATAATAATAGGTCCGTGATACAGGCCTCTTTTCATGAAATTATTGACATCCGCCTGAAACTTTGTAAGTAGCTTCATCCCATCGTTACCTACAAATATGTTGTTTGTGAAAATTCTCGGACTTCCACCCACAGTTGACTATCACACAGATAGTCTTTACCAATAATTTTATACTTATGTAGACGGACACACTAACATGCTAATAAGAGATAAGGCTTCAGCTAATATGCCCATGGATACGAGGATGAGATTGATAAGGCGCCGGATGAGAGACCTTCTTCCTTAACAAACCATGGTAATTAAATGGAACCAGGCAAGAGGTACTGCTAGTTTTCTCTCCTTTTCTATGTTTAGCAATTTCATTACTTTCATCAGGTCTTCTGCGTATCAGTATTTCAAGTTGAAAAAAATAAAGTATCCTATACTTTATCAAAATTTGGTTTCAAAAAAAGAAACGTAAACCATTTATTACTGTTGGTGGAACTAATTGAGACCGCCAGCTATGAAGAAGTGACCAAAAATGACAAATTGATGCGGGTATATTGTATATTGGATATTCTCATCCGTTTTTAATGACAAGTTTAAGGACGAAGGATCTATTTCAACGGAAAATCCTATAAATTTTGTCGTTTAACATTATATGGTACATTATATTGCCCATGACTTTATTAATTACGAATATATAATATATATTATATGTTAATCGACAGTATCAAATTATTGTTCTCTTACGTTTTATTATCTTTATTTATATTTGTAAATATTACAATATGCCTCTCTTTTTTTCATATTTGGAAAAGAAGTAGTGTTTGTATGAGTGTGTTGTGTACGGAAGGAATCTATTATAAAATAAATATCATTAAATTATTTTTGCCTTATTTACTACATGAATCAATGTTCCTTGTAATGTTCTTCAACGACAGTTGGTATAAGTGTTCTTATGTTGCCTGTTCTTATTTTGTTGTTTTTTAACATTAACCTCCACCAGAATTTAACCTTGTCATCATGTTTGCAGAAGCCGATGGAAGACAGAGCCGTTGGAGCTAGCAGAGGTAGGCCCGCTGATCGAAGGAAGCCGTCCCGGTGATCCTTCCAGGAGGATACTCCTCGACATCGGAAGCCAGCCCACCAGTTACCTCGCCAGTACCAACACCATAGGTTAGTACATTATCATATTACAAAAAGAGTAACCCACCAAGAATTAATAGTTCATTTGTCTCGACAAGAACATACGTTGTATGCGAAGTGTTGTGGAGATATAGCAGTGCGACCTTATTTCTCATGCGACTGATTCTGAGACTTGAAAACTGCTCTCGAATTCATTGAATAAATATTTCCATTATACAATAGCTCGAATTTTATATTCATGCTGCTCTGCATCGAAAAAAGAATCGGTGAAGGATTCCTCTGGGTTAAACTAATTTGAAATTTGTCAGAAATCCGTTACTAGTCATATCATTGGGTACTGACATATCAGTACTTTGATCGCCGCAGATTGAATGTAATTTCATCATATTACTGAACCTGTGTATTAGTTCAACTCGTATTTATGATTTTGTTGGAATAATTAATAGGAAGTGTTAAGTACCTAATTAAAGCACTCATAAGGCGTTACACTCAAAATAATCCAAGAACTGAGTAAATTATATGTTCAGACTAATTCAGATAAAATTAAGGAGGTTTTTTTTGGTACTTAAAAGTTCAAAATATAAAAGAATAAAAATTAACTATCGAAACATATTGTTTATCAAGGAGTTAATTTTGGCAGACTTTTAAGATTTTTGCCAATGAAAACCATAAGCTAGAAAGCATTCTTCCACAAACCCATTGCTGCATCTAAAGAGTTTATTCTACAAAATGATAATGAGTAATTTAATGGCGCACCATTAATTTCCATGATTACAAAGTATACAGAACAAATTATTACAATACAATAATTTCAAAATGGAAAATTACGGAAAATAGTTAAAGGCCAAGTTACATAGTTAAATACAAAGATTACTATATATACCGAAAAGCAAAAGATCGTCATGGGAAGACATCATATCTTCATTAAATCAAAGCATTTCAATGAAGGAGCTCTGGAATAAAGTGAAAAGCATTAAGGGGATCTCCAAAACAAAGAAATTGCCTGGTATAAAGAGTGGACAAGACTTTATAACTGACCCTGACGAAATCGTTAACGAAAGTGATAAAACTCTGCAACAGAGTGTAATTTAAAGGCGTTGCCAATGACCCTACAGGGTAGAGGCAACAAAACACCAAATAAATAAATAAATAAATAATGAATAACCAAAAATTAGTAATAGATAGATAGAATAATAAACGAAAAATATATTTTTAAAACATAAAGAATGAAATATATTAAAATATATTTTAAAAAACAAAAACAAAGAACAAAAATTATATTTATTTCTTTTTTTTTGGTTTAATTTTTTTATTCACACCTGTTATAGTGGTAATGACAACCAGTGAATGTGAGATCGTTCGAAAAAATAATGTCATGAAAGGCATTACGGTGATCAGTGCCCAGCGGCACCTCACTCAGCGTGATATCTACATTAGGCGAGGAGGTCCCTCATCCAGATCCTCTTCAGTCTCCTACAGACGTTACCTGGCATATTCGTAGTGGCCATGTCATTTATAAGTGTATTAGGATGTATTTCTATATTTTATTTAATAACCTATGGATTATAAGAAAATTAATAACCGTTTTTATAATTGATTCGTTATTGTTTAACACTACTGATATGTCCGGTTTTAGGGATAATCTATTCTCCTGTAATAGATTAAAATATATTATAGGATTCTCGACACTTCGAAGCTTACATTCATTATTGGGCGACTCACAAACAACGCCTTCTTATTTGTTTAAAACAAAACAAAATTTCATCATTTGAAGCATAGATGTTATTTGAAACGAAAATTAATATTTCATTTAATTAATTTCAAGTATTAAAATGTGCATAATACAATAACGACTAGATAGTATCGTAAATTTATTGATTCATAATTAAAAAATATATGCCACAATATATGTATTTTCAAACAAATCCAGGCATTTGTTAAGAAGGAAATAATTTGCGGAATTGAATAATATTCGCATATCTTTATGTTAATAATTATTTTTAATATGCACATCATCTTAGAATATTCATTCATAGCGATGACCGGGTATGAGGAATGATAGACTTATCCTCCAGGAACTGACTCACCAATAAAAAATACGCGAGCTCTTCAAAACGTTTCTTATCTCATCTTCATAAGTTACCTGTTGTGGCCTTAGTGCCACAGAGTGCGTTATTAATAGAAGCGCGTGCTCGGGTGAGGTCACTGGAACCCATTGAGTCCCTGGACAAGGGCGCAATAGCTGAGGACCAAGGTCCGTGATGTGACCACGTAGGATTGCGTCAGGGTGCCGTCTTCAAGGCATTGCCGGAGTCATCCGCCAACCATTTTGGTCGTTTTTTGTCTGCTGTGCTTGTGAAGGTAACGCTCTAAGCAGTTCCTCGTACGCTTGGAATAAACTCATCGTAGCTCGGGGTGTATATTAATAGGATGATGTAATGACGCAATAAAACGAAGGTTATGGCACCTCAAATGATTAACATGACTGCTTTCGTCATTATTGAGTTATTAGCTTCTAATTATATTTGTCATCTGCTGATGCGCAGGCAATTAGTGATGTAGGCAATCGACCTCTTTAAAATATGCTGTCCAGTTCTTGTATACTGATTTTTAGTTGAATTCTGTTAGTACGCTTTTATTTATTTTTCTTGTCTTTCTGCAATACATGATTTTAAATGTATAAAACAATTAATGAAGCTTGGAAGTTTGAGATGAGCTGGCCACGTGACTAGGATGGAGAATGAAGCAATCACTAAGATTATACTGACAGAACCTCTCTATGACACTAGAAGAAGAAGGAGACCAAAACTAAGATGGTCAGACGGTCTGGCAAGATATTGAAGGGATGCCCTGGGACTCAAGAGCTGGATGATGGCAGCAAAGATCTCATATGACTGGAGGAAGTTGGTGGAGGAGGCCAAGACTCGTCACCGAGTTGTAGTTAGTTAGTATAAAACATATCGCCTTCTCAAATACTGAAATGGGCTCGGCCAACTATTTTTCTTCCACCCCACACGAAGGCTTAGTAGTATGGGCGGCTCTCATTAGACAGGAGTAGATGAATATCATCTATTCCGAGGCTATTAAAACCAGTATCCATTGCCTCAAAAGCTTAGTATTCACATGTTCGGCAGTTACCGGAACGTCGCAGCTGGAGCATACGGGATTTATTTCCTTTCCAAGTCTGTAGAACTTGGCACAATAAGCTCCATGGAAATAAGCCGGTGAGAAATTGAGAGGCCCAAAAATCAGGCTGAACCTAGTTGAGAATGTACGTGGCTGATCTTAATATTGTCTTTCATGTATCGGGTTGTTTCTTAATCTTCACAACTTCATTTAACACCCTAATATATTATTTATCTATGCAGCTCTTATTATACTATTTATATTAGTAGTTAGATGGTAGAAATAGTTGTAAATAAAATGGTCAGAAAATTTGTTTAGAGTTGCAGTAAAAAACACAATATAGAAAAAGTATGTGTTTTGCACTGTGACTGCATTCCTAAACTTAATTACCAACCAGTAAAACAAATGTTTTTTATATTAAATATATTTAAATTAAAGTGAGCAGACAAATAAAAACTACCCAGTCGTAGTTAAAAACTTGCGTTTAGATCCACCATAAACAATCTAGCCTCTATTAAAACCTCCAAGAACGCAATAGCTATTTTCTTCAAATATCTCCTACGAAAAACTTTTTGACGATTTCCCGCAAAGGCCATGCACGCAAATGTAATTATGCTAAACTTCCCTTACTAATGCGCTCCGATGAATGCGAAATGGTGCGACGATTATAATAATGACCGCGAAAATGTTGTACCAGCCCGGTTGATTTCTTATTTCCTCGCTGGCAGTCCAACATCTCAGCACGCAACGTTTTACGTCTATAGCTCCCTCTTCGCTCTACGGATCAACCCCCGAGGTCGTGTTTTCTCTGACGATTACTGTGTCCTGCATGTAAACGTGAATAGTACATAGTGACATATATTGATTAATTTGAAGTTGCTCCCTTTAATGAAACTCTAAGCTATTGGATTGAAGAGATAATTGTACATTGACATATGTATTTAGGAAATCAAATGAGATTGTTAATTTATTACTTATACCAGGAATTAACGATTCCTTACCGAACATAAATCTTCAGTGATTTAAAGAAACCTGATTCGTCATTCACAATATCATCTAGAACACCAGAGGACGTTATAGTTTCTGCAGCTGGTTTCATTGAACAGTATTTCGTGTAGATATAAAATGTATCACCTTAATATACAGGGTGTTTCAGGGTTTGGTGTAATAACTAGAAATATGAATTAATTTTTTTAAAACAGAAAAGAAGTTCCTATGAACTTATGTTGGTTAAAGTTTTTCTTAAGAGTTATTGAAGTTTAAAGATTTTCATTGTTATGAATTATTTACGTTGTAATGCATTTTTATTTTAATATTCTTTGCCGTTTGCATCTGCGCGGCAGCGTATCTAGCAAATTTGATGTAATAATTATTTGCTTAATTTTCTTTCATTTTGTTATTATTAAAGGAGCAGGTCTCTTGGTCATTTCCTGTTTAATCTGCGTCGGTCAGGTAACAGGGGACAAGAAAGAGAAAGAACTAGTGATTTTGAATTCGATAATATAATGTAGTGTATTTGTAGTAGTTTTAGTATTTTACTGTTGGAGTGTTTAAGTCGTTAAACATATTAAATAAATTAATATGTGCTCCAAATAATTTATTAATGCAATATAAAAATAAATCTTCATATTGGTGCCCCTTAGGTAAAGGATACCATGTCCATTTAATTTATTAAATAATTTAGGAACTGAGAAACAAATTTTAATAGCTCGAAGGTATGGACAAATGTCTCCCATCATCTCCATTTTTGTAGTTGTTCAGTACAATAATGGACATGGTGCTCTTTACCTCCGTGGTACAAATATTATCTCATGATATTTTTTAGCACTAAGCCAGGTTCGGCATATGTGTTATTGTTCCGCGAGTTTCAATCATAATAAATTAAGACCATTGACTAGACTTGCATAAACTAGTCAGACCTGCATATTCACCAATAGTATAAATGCTAGGCCTAATGATGAGAACTCTGCGAAAGCGTCAAATAAACTGATAAATAACGAGCATACCTTCATAGAACTTTTCGTTTTTGTTTTGAGCTCCTTAATCCATATTTTCAGATACGACACCCTGAAACGGCCGCATACTAATTATTATTTCGTAAGCATTGACAAGTTTTTACTTTGTACTGTTTCCGAAACGGAAGGTCATGAAAGGTTCGGGGTGTATGAAGTTTTCGATGATACAAATTTCAAATTTTAATGTGAGTTTACACATACCAAATGAAAGGTGTTGACGATTCAAAGGTTAAAGCTCTTTCTCTCCTCTAGTTCACCTACGATAGAGGAATTGCTGCAGTTTGATCAATTAAGGAGCTCTGGAAGCGTAGTTGGCATTTAAGCTCCGTACCATCGATAATTTCTCTCCCTCACCTTTCAATACCGGTAGGCCTTGTCTCTTCCCTTCTTTTTTTAGAAATAATTGTTCTCTCTTGGTCACATGCATGCAAGTTCGAAATTCTATAATATGAAGCAGATTCCATGTTTCCTCGTGTCTCAATAAATACATTTTACCTTAAATAGGTAAAATGTATGGCTAAGGAAATATTGTGATTGCCCAAAAATGCAATTTTGTTTTTCCATAGCTGCTTTGTTCCAAATTTATAATCACTGTTCATTTTCCTACATTACTGAAGCATTTTTGAAAAACAATCTGTAGAGAAATGTAACCGTTCAGAACATAGAACATAGAAAAACGAAAAATAAAATATTCATGATGTAATTATAATATATGGACTGACAATAACTTGATTTTAACAAAAATAATCATAAGCTTCTTTTAACATTTTACTGTTTTTTTTTTCATATGTATGTAAACTTTAACTAATATTTTCGTGAAGTTAATATTGCGGCGAATCCATATCTTTATTTTCTTCTTTTCAATTGTGTTCAAATCGTCTCAGCGAACGAGATTTAATGTGCAAAAAACTTCAAATCTACGAAATTAATAATTTGAATGCAGTTGGTTTTTTAAAAAACGCGAAGTAAATGGACCCTTTTTTTACGTCTGAAATTTTAAATTTGTAGTAGTAAATGGATTTTTGAAATTAATGAAGAATGTGGATTTTTTTTCCTAGGCTAGCACTGAAAAAGCATAAATAACCAGAAAATATATATTCATAATTGTGGGTTGATGTTTGACGGTCGTGAATAATGAAGAGAAGAATGGTTGGGGTGATCACGCAGAAATAAGAAAGCAAAAATAAATAATAATATTTATTTTAACATTTGCCGACGTTTCGACCTGAAGTTCAAGCCTTCATCAGGGCTAAGAAAAGAACCAGATAACAAGGTATGAGAAACATAAACAATGTAGGTAACAAAATTAAAGTAAAATGAAGTGGGTAGAATAATGACCATAACAAGAACTAAGAAATAAATAATAATAACCGTTACAAAGTGTGGAATAATGAAGTAAACATAATCAAAATGAGGTGACCTAAGTACTGAAATGGTAATCTTAGAATAAAATGAAATCAGAGAAAAGGATTAAATTATTCTTAGGATTAAATTATTCTAAAGGATTATGAAGGTATATAAGAAATAAAAATAAATAGTAAAATTAAGATATTGTAAAGTCTATTGAGATATTGTATAGTTTAAGTAGTCTAAAGTCTATATATCTTCATTTAAGATATATATACGTTTGTTATACTAATTATTATCTTGAATTCTTCAAATATATTTAATTGTATTAATTTATACAAATGTTTTTAATAATTATACCTTGATGCTTCTAATATTTTTATCTCAACTGATGTGACGTATTGAACTCGCGTTACCCATTATCTAGGCCCATCTAACATAAGATTCCGACATTCAATTCATTTAATGTACATTAAGCATAAATATTGTTTTATTATTATATATTTTAATATTACACGTGTAGATCGTTGACCATGTGTTGTTTCAAGATGATCTGATAGTTGGTTAGAAAAACATTAAATAATTGATTATTTTTATTTAATGTCGTTTTTTCGACCCTATCTCTCCATTGGGTCTAGAAACAAAAATACGATGCAGAAGAGATCATCGTAGAAGTAAAACATATATATAATATAATAGACGTAATTATGAATATATGTTTAAAAGTGGCAAAACGATAGTATCTGATAAAATAATTGCAAAACGTATGAATTTGTTAATCTGATAAATGAATATACTAATCAGGTTATTGTACCAGTATATTAGTTCATCAGATTACTATGCTCATTTCTTTTGTTGTTTATTGTATCAGATAGTCAGTGTATTACAATATCACACTCTATTGTTTTTCACCAATTTTTATTAATTATCATTTTCGTAAGTTCATGTTCACGTCAGTTATTCTATATTCTTCTGCTCCTACAGTAGCTTCTTCTTTGTATCTTTCTTCTTGATAGTTTTTATAAAGTTAAGAATTATTATAAAGCAATAACATCTTATCCATCATTTATTATTCGCTGTATATCTTTAGCCCAAAGGCATTAGAAGTATACAGAGTATAATATAATGAGAATATAAAAAGTTCTATAAAAATATAAAAGAAATTTGAAATTTATTTATTTAAAAAAATCAGTACCACAAACGTTTAAGGATTTAAAGATTATTGTCCTGTTTTAAACTGAATTTTAAAAGTTAATTCATATTTTTTTCGAATTCAATCCAAGTAAACGTACTTTAACGAAATTTGGTAATAACAATTGCAAAAGGAGAATCTTCTTTAGAAAGAAATTGAAATGTTAAAAAAATTACAATTTTAGGGTATACGATGCTATGATAAACACAGTTCAGATACATGGCTACGAGAGCTGGACACTAACCAACACCCTAGCAAGTAGCAATGAAAGTATCTAGCATATGATAAATGGAACGATCTGGGATCAGATTACGAGAAACTGCAATCAATATCTCATGGTATGAAGGCAAGGAGAATAAGATAGGTGGTACATTTTACAAGAAGCATTCCATCAGGAAATCTCTAAACAACAACGGATACTTCATTAGCTGAGAAAAGTTCACGTGTGGGCCCAAGAACCAGACGTATGATTGATGGAATCAATAATGATGCTGCAGAGCAACACGCAGAATACTGGAAACCGGTAGACTAAGATAGGTAGAGTATAGAAGGATTATTCGTGAGGCCAAACATCTGCCAAGTTTATAAATCCAACAGAATAAATATAAGTAGAATATCATTTAAATTAACAAATCTATTTGAAACTCTTCATCCACGCTCCATTAGCGTTCCTGAGTACTCAGTGAATTACACCTCCCCTCCATTTCGTCAGCCCCATAACTCAATGGTACGTAAAGGAAATATTGAATTAAATCGAAGCGGTTTCATGCATATGTAAGAAGTGAGCCCTGACCGAATATGTCCCTGGTGGCTTTGATGCATACTGATATATTCACCAAGACCGCTTCGTTACACACTGTCGGAGAACTGCGGTAATAGGGCGTCATGTCGATAATTGATCATGGATTTTCTTATTTAGGAGTTTTTCAGACGGATTAATTTATTCTTTCCGAAAACATGGTAATAAATTTACCTGAACGCGACATAGGATGAATCAATCTTAGATTAAGTGATTATTATTAATCCTATAGATTCCTGGCAATAACCATTATAGATACTAACGTAAGCATGAAAAATATCATGTAATCATGCGGCAATCCTTGTCTTATCAGTGGAGTCGTTCTATTATTATCATTTTTATGGCTCATTCACTTTAAGTTAACTGGTTTATTTAATTTTTTTAAAATAAATTATTGAAGCAGACGTTGCTTCGCTATTCGATGTTTAAAATATACATTTATACGTAGCATTTAAATACAAATTATTGATTCGATTTTTAATATAACTTCTCATAATTAAAAAAAAAAATTGTAATAAAGATTTTAAACATGATATTATTTGATGACAAGTAAGACAATATAAAACAAGAAATTTCCGCAAAAATCTACGATACTATGAGCTATTGAAACTGAAATTGCAAAATCACAATTTACATAATATTATTTTAATATTTATGCCAAATAATAATAATACTAGTTAAGTTACCATCATATTATGATTTTGAGTCATGTTTTTCATGTATAAAAATCTGACCCGTATGAATAACTCGTAGAGAATATTGATCAGCAATTAAATGGTATATTGTTGGTAAATTTATAAAATTTTCATAAGGCAGCATCATTACTGATATTAAATTATAATAAAATCCAATCTTGATGATTTTTGTTTTTTGTTTTGTAGAGAATTCAAAAACATTCAAATCGTCCTACGTGTAATCAAACATGATCTGTATAATTTTTTAGTATTTTTTGTTATTCTTAATTTTTTTTCCTTAATTTTTTTTTTGAGAATGTGATTTTTTTTTTGGCACTGGCTAAGAAGATAATTATCTTTCATCTTAAAATTATAAAAGATAATTATAATTATTTTAAAAATATTAACGAAGGTATGGCGTACCGACAAAAAATACCTTTGAAAAATAATATATAAACATTACATATAAATCCAAGTACCTTATTATTATTATTAAAAATATAATCCGAATTCTGAGATATTTATTGTAGAATATCATATACATTTTTCACTTATAAAAATGCCTCTTGTAGTTATGAAGCCCTAAGAAAATAACCTATTTGTATACGCAAATTGAGACACCTGAAGGATGTGATTAATTTTCGGCAAGTAAGAAAGTTTAGTGAGAAATTAGAAGTATAAAATGTACAATATATCGTGTATTCCTATATATTCTTATGTATGTTGTCTTACATATAAACGTAATGAGGAAATCCTTAGAAAAAAAGTTTGTATATATAAACAGAAATTTAGGTGTACTCTTCGCATTGTTACAATTTGAAACCAGAAATCAGTGACCTGGATGAATGAGCAACAGTCGGAAATAGACCAGCCAATATCAATCGCAAACAGAGTTTTCTTCTCTGTTTCAAGGGTATTGAAATCCCGAAGAGTCGCAAGAAATCTTAAATTAAGCGTGTACAATAAACTATGATAAAGCCAGTTCCGATATACGGATGTGAGACCAGGATACTTACCTGTATAGAAGAAGTGTTGAAAGATTTGAGAGGATAATCCTCAGCACGATTAGGAGAAGAAAGACCTATAAAGAGCAACGTACAGAAACTGGTCAAGCAATATCTCATAATATAAAGGCAATGAGGTTAAGATGGGCGGAGCATATATCGCGAAGTAATCTATCTGGAAGTCTCTACACAGTAAAGAATGCCTCAAAAGTAGACGGAGACCACGTGGAAGGCCAAAAACCCAGATGGATGATCGAATCAACAAAGACGCAGTAGAGCTACATTCTAATAATTGGAATAAAATAGCCTAGGATAGGCAGAGATGGAGTAGGCGCGTTAAGGCGACATTTACAAAAAAATACATGCAAACACCGAAAAAAAATGATAGAAAATTTTCAGTTATTCAAAATTTTTATTTCGATTGATAAGTAAAAATTTTGTTTTTCTTTGTTTGTTTTATGATTTGTGTAGCGTTCCTTCACACAGTTCAATTAATATTTTATTAATTTAAGTAGTAAAATTAAAAACTGAAACACTGGACCTGCTTCAGTACGTTGGATTTGAATATTGCAAACCCAATTAAATAGGCTGTTGTTTAAACAGATTTTTATTTATTTCTTGTTAAGTATCCTTTAATAACCAGCGTAATGTCTATTTTTCATACACAATGACTGCAAGTGTAAGTAAAATAATGTTTCCATAATTATCAGACTTATAGATTGCCACGCTGGCTATTTTTAGAAAACAATCTGGTCATTATCACAGCTCGAAATGTGAGGCTATATGCGCTCCAACAAGATTCTGATATATTTTGCTGGACGATATCGATTCCTTAGTATATTTAAGGAAAACTGTTTTCTCGTTCGATTTTTCATGATCGATCGATTTCGATTTCAAAGTTTATTTTATGTCAGTAAGATGTAGTTGTAGTCAAGAGGATGAAGGTATGTGTTCATTTATAATTGTTTTGCAGAATATTTGTAATAAACGGACATATCACGCACATATTAAAAACTTAATCTAATTGTTTATTATTTTCTTGTAGCTTTATTCATTAATGTACTTATTATAGTTACATATTACGCACATATTACACACATTGAATGTATACGGAACAATCATTATTATACTCTGATAAATAAAATTAACAAATCACTTAATTTATTTAAATAGTTCAAAATCAGATTTTTTATCATTCTGCACTATTTTATCGAATTGCTCGTAACAACAATTTCTCGAAATAAGCTATAAAATTGTGCTTTATTTACTTTTAAACGGATTACTCATCCCGTTTATAGTATTATGTATTTCAAATCTGGCATGCTTATCATTTGTTTCCCGCTGCTCTTTTCCTGCATTGTTTTTGTTTGATTTTAGCCTTCATCATAAGCTTTGTTTGGTTTTCAACGATCCCAGCCAGATATTTGAGTCATTGTAGCAGTGTGAGGACATAATTAACGTTAGAGTAAGGATAGCTTGAAGTGGCCTGGAGGCTAGGTGTATGTCAGCCAACGATAGGATTTTTTAACAGGTTAGATAAATCTCTCTTACACCAAAACTCCAGGATAACATCCACCGAGTTTGAGACGAAGTAGGCAAGAGACACATCCGCCATCATACCCTGTGAAGCAGCAACATTTCCGAATATGTGATAAAAAGCTTAGTAGCACAAGTTATATTTCGATTTCCAAGAGGGCTGTCAGATAAAGGCTTAATGAAAATAACCGCAGAGCCCAACACTGGTACTCTTGGAAGCCTTCAGTTCTTTTGAGATCATGTGAAGTGGACCTTGTAAGTTTGGGGAATGATGTTTACAAATGAGATTTTTTTTTTCAAATATTCAGATGGTGTCATTTTAGCTGATAAGGTTCAGAAGAAAGAAACTTTTAAAGAGTTGTTAATAGCATTTTTTATGATGGTGTAACTAAGGTTTAATTTATAATAATTTCTTTTAAGAAATACTAAGGATTTAAGCGTTTATGGTCCGTGGCATAGGAGGAAATACTCGATATCAGATGCAAAAAAATTACTTTATTCAAAATGAGTAATTCTGATAAATTTTAAGCATTTATTTTTTTAATTAATACGTAATGGTAAAACAATTCTGAAATCATCCATCAACTAAACTAAATAAAAATAAATTAAAATATTATAATTTCTTACATAGATTAGTAGTAATATAAAATTCATAATAAGATATGCAACAATTTTAATTCAAACTTCTTGATGTTAGCACTATTTCATATTTCAATAGTTTCTTTTGAACCAAGCTCCTCGGACATTATTTCCTCCCTAATCGCAACAAAAGCAAAGCGACCTCATCATAGCTGATTACGGAATGGAAACACGACTACAGAATTCCATGAGAACTGGGAACATTACCGTGGGCCTAAGATATCATTACTGGCCTTATTGCTCACTACACAATCAGACCTGGCCACTGAGCCAAGTTTGCCTCAACTGCCTTTGGGTTCAGTAATTTCCTAAAATTGCTCCAAGGTTCTGTGCCGGACCTCTGACTCCTCGCTGACGGCGGAAGGGGATTGAACTATCCGGACAATTCCTGTCCTCCGCGTGTTTACCTTAATATACGGCTTATGAAATTCCTTGCAGTCATCTCTAGCAGATTTACTGGCTCGAGGGCCTTGTTCCTCCTCTTTCAGCATCCTTTCAGAACAATTTATAGGTTTAGGTTACGAAAACGATACCTTTAACATTTTGTTTTTTTAACGTAGATAAAATGTAGTCGTAGAAGTAAGTTTTATGATAACCAATAAATTTAGATATACATTTTTTATGACCATATTTATCTTTCTAGCAATAAAACAAGCTCGATAATCTTTCGATGTTTTACGGAGTTCTAAATTGTTATTTCATTAATCACTTTGTTATTTTTCTGATTTGCGATTGGCGATTTTTTTTTTAATAATGGTAAAATTAAAATTATTCAAAACGAAATACTATAATTTAATATATCTTATCTGCGTTAATCTGATTTTGCGGATGTCTATTCATAATAATTTATAATGTTTTTAATAATTATATATTATTAAATATAACCCATTAAATTTATTAGAGATCTGTCAAATAAAAATTGTAAACACTTTTATTTTACTTAATCCCCTGAAATCTTAAAAAAAAAAAAAAATAATGTTGATAGATTGTTTTATTTGACTCTTAATTCAAGTTAAATACGCTACAACATTCTTAATTAATGTTATTTATTCCTTTTTCAGGAGCATAAGATGTTTTTGGTGTCCGGAATCTTATTCATTTCTTGATTTGTTATTCCTTTATTTGAACATGGTTCATCTTTTATATTATTTCATCATGGAAGATTATACACCCCTATATCTTCTATCTATATCTATAAGTTCCCCTATGTCTTCATAAGAATGTTAAAGAATAATGTTCAGTAACAGTGATTGCGATACCTGATACTCATGTTATTGAATATGAAATAAATACATTGTGTCTTTCATTTCTGTCTTTACCCAAACCGCTCCGGTTTTTGTAAGGAATATCCTCCAGTTGAATCTTCAGTACTCATTTCTAGGTTACCAGTTAGTGTGCAGATCTCTCAGCATTTTAGTAGAAATGACTTTATCATGGCAATGTACAGATTTAATCTAAGATTTTTGAAACTATCATATGATATTTAGCTTGAATTAAAAGGGAGAAAAAATAGATAACAGAATATATCTGAAACATAATTGTGGAAGAATATTACATTTAAAAATTACAACTTATATTTATAAGTTTTTAAAAACAAAACTTACTTATATACTATAATATAAAACTAGTTTCTTTTTTGCTTGTAACCGCGAAAAATACCTGACTGATTTATAGGTTTTTTTTTATATTGATCCGTGTTGTTTCAAGATAGTTTGGAACGAGAAGTTACGAAATATTTTCAACATTAGAGAATGTTTTGAATAATTATATTCCAAACAGTATTTAATTGGTAAATTGTTGCTCCTACATTGTTTTAATTATATTGTAGCTATAATCGCATTTGCCTACAATCAAAAATGTTATTTTTTTAATACATAATACACCGATAAGACAAAATACTAGAGATCTCAGCATTTGTGCGATAATGAGGAAACGAATAGAAAGACAAAATGAAACAGAAAAACAGATAGCACAACAAAATATACTACATGTATATATATCTATGCATAAAGGGACAATCTGTTATCTATTTGTATTCGCTGAACTAGAAAACTAGATCATCGTAATTTACCGCGGAAGGTTAACCGATTTTTCATTGATCTAAATAATATCAGTATTGGATAACTGATTTTTAAAAATATTAATAATTAATAGATAACCGAAAACCAATCTAATGAGAAACGCACAATGCGAAATGTATTCTTTCTTTCTTCTCATTTCTGAAATTCTAGAGATTCGCCACCAAAAGAAAAAACAACATAATAACATATTTTGCACCTCGGGAGTTTTTTATTTTCAGAGCGGACGAAGCGGTGATAAAGGACACAAGTGATATGATAAAGACATGATCCGAATGATAGTTTCCTATAACAGAATATGGCCTAATTTACTTCTCAAAAATATACCAGTCGTCTTTTTTATAAGACCGATTTTAGGTTATTTAAGATTTGTTTAAATATCAATATCAATTCGTTATCTATTGCAAGCGCAGAAAGTGGATGGACAGTGAGTCGTTTCGCAATGATCCTTTCACTCTCGCTATTAGGTAACTGAACTCATCAATTTTTTTATTGTTCTGAGATAGATTACTTTTTGTTCATTTTAAAGAAATGATAATGTAGGTCTTTACGAGATTCCTTCAAATTCACAAGTTTCATGTTGACTACATGGAAAAGTTCAAATCGAAAATTACTACTAGTTCTGAATAATATACGATACTTCGTAATCATTAATCTAAAGTTATTAAGGCTGACATTATTAATTTGTGTTTTCTGATGATTGAATATGTAAATTATCTTGAATTTAGAAAAGGTGATCATTATATTGATACTAAAAGTAAATATTTAGGTACCAAAAATGACGCCTAATGAAATAAAACTATTCGGTAACTTTTTGAAATTCTTCCCCTTTGGTATGAACCCTCAATCATTATTTTACTATTTGGCTGTATTTTCTAATAAACCTTTTTTTTTTTTTTCGTTTCTCTAAATATTTCGCTGATGTTCGCATTAATGTCAGTCCCGTTATCTGTTTTCTCTATACTGTGATCTCCTACCCATCTTCATTCTAATCAGGCTCATTGATGAGGGTTAGTAATGCAT